GCAAAAGAACAATAAATCCAAAATGAGAAATGGGATACTACGGTCTCAAAGAAAATAATAAAATTATTGAAGCAGCTTGAAAGTGTTATTGGAATCAAATGAAAATCCTTAATTGAACCAATACTCAAGTTGAAAGAAAAAAATGAAAACAAAGACATCCATTCTCTACCTCTAATCATAGGGTATTCCAGTAAAACTAGCTCATCAAGATCTGGACAGTCTTATCAAATACGCCCAAAAAAAACTAACAAAGGAAACCATAAAGAATTTGAAGGACTATCATCAGCCAGTAGCCTATTAGGCATGTCAACTTCATGTCAAGACTCCAAATTGTTCAGGCAGAAGAAGATGATAGAAAAGAGATTGAAAAATCCCTTCAAATTGAAACATGTCGAGTCATTTTGGTGACATCAAATACTTATTGGCAAACTTATTCCCAAATACATCGCTGGAGACGGGCAAAAACAACTTCAATAAACATAAAATTCAGAAGAAAATTCAAAGAATATACCTTAGAAAAAAGAAAAAAATAACAAAAGTAATATCAATGTTCTATTTGATGGTGCTGCAGCATATTATAGCTTATAGCATTTGTGCTTTCCTAACGGGACCGAGTCAGAATCCACAAAAGTATCATGAATGCAATACATGAAGTTGGGCAGTGATTCTGAACCTCTTAACCAATCTTCTGCAATGGCGGAGGTTACTCTAAAGAAGTCGCTCATTAGATGAATTTGGTTTTAAATAAAATGATCCAAGTTTAACTGATTAGTGGTAGAGTATTGTCGCCTTTAATAAACAAAGGATCATTAAATAAAAAAAAGAAGGAAGATATCATTCCCAATGATCCCATAAAGAAGTCTATCTAGAGTAGGCTATACCGTCTTAATCCTAAGGAACCAAAATCAGCACAACTATCTAAAGCTAAGGCATCAACATCAAAGGTGTGAAATAACCCAAAAATAAAAAAGTTAAGAAGCAGAGGGAGAAATAAGGTAATGCCAACTCCCCCTAAAAATGCTAACCCTACAGGCTACATCTAAACTAGAATGAGTTGTTACTCACTTCTGAAGAGACACAGAGAAATAATAGACATGATAACATCAGAAATCACTCTAATGGTCACATATGTTCCTCCCCAATATTTCAAAGAAATCAGTCCATGCAAAGTTCAAAACATCGAAATGTTGAACATATTATATGTACCTTATTTAAGTGGGAATAATGGACCAAAGAGTTTATTTTATAAATTCGAAGAGTATGAAGACGGGAATTTCGATTGACTTATCGAGTTCATCGAATCTAGAGACATATCCAACAAGGATGTCTAAATACCATCCTCTAAGAGTTCATAGAATGATGAGAAAGCTAAGAGTTCATATTGAGATTACTAAATGACAAACTCAATATTTTCAAAAGAAAGAGTATCAGAAAAATCTATAGGCGTTTTTCGAGAAAGTGAATCTAATAATAGTGAAGAGAAACACTATGAAATCAATCTCTCAGACGACCAAGCGTTAGAAGCCAAACTTGTACCTGAATAGCTGGAAGATGGCGTGCAGGCTATTATAATGAATGAACTAAAATATGTCAATTTGTAACCTAAGAAAGAACATCGCCCAACTTTCATTAGCGGCTCCTACCTAAGGATAAAGTTGAGGAAATGAAATCAATATTCTGTAAATTCAAGGGCAACTTTACTTGTACATACGCTGAAATATCCAACCTAACCCTTGATGTGGCAGTTCAAAGATTAGCTAACCTGATGCAATACCAGCCAAATAAGCTCGAAAGTGAATGAAATTTGATATTGAGGAACATATGACTGCATAAATGAAAAAAACTCAATGAAATGGGTTTTATTTGAAAAGAAAAATATGCTAATTAAATAGCTAACATTGTCCTTGTGAAGAAGAGCAACGATCAAATTTATATATGTATGAACCTTTGGAACCTCAATAAAGCATATCTAAAAGATGAAATTCAACTTCCAGTGTCAAAACTGCTAGTTGATACACTTTTAACTAGGACACGTTTTCTTTATGGATGAATCGTCAAGCTTCAATAAAATCGAGTGACACCGGAAGATAAAAAGAATACATCATTCAATATGCCTATCGCCACATTATGTCATATAGTCATGCCTTCAACTTAAAGAATGTCAGAGCTACGTGCCAAATGGGCTATGGCTCACCTCTTTGATGACTTGATCTATCAAAAAAAAGAAGTGATATGTCAATGATATTGTCATCAAGAGAAAAGTTTATAGAGATTACCTAGATGATCTCAAATTTGTATTTGAGAGAATAAGAAAATTTGACCTCAAAATGAATCGTCTCAACTATGCTTTCAGGGTTTGCCCGAAAAAGTTAATGGGGTACATTGTATGCAAGAGAGGAAATAAAAATTGACCTCAATAAAATCAAAGCAATCATTGAAATCTCATTGAAAAAAAAGTTTTTGCCAGCTACATTCTTTACAAGAGCAATTTGTGTTCATTCAATGATTTATATCAAATTTATTGGGAAACCATTTTTGAAATTGATGAAGAAATATTTTTGCATTAAATGAGATGAAGAATTTCAAGAAGCTTTTGACAATATCAAGAGATATATGTTATGCTCGCTTATTCTTATAACGTCAATTCCGAGAAAGCCTCTTATTCTATATAAAATGACATAGAAAGAAACCTTTGGAGCATTATTGGCACATCCCACTGAAAAAAGCAAGGAGATCTCTATTACATTAGTCAAAAACTGGTACAGGCAAAAGTGTGATATTCTTCAATTGAGAAGCATTATTTTGTGCTAATCTTCACTGTTCAAAAACTTCTCATTTACATGCTCTCTCATAAGATCACTTAGATCTCAAAGATCGATCTATTGAAATTCATGATGATAATACGAGTGTTGACATACTACTTGGCTAGATGGACATTGATATTTCTGTAATTCATAATTACTTATACTCCTCAGAAAGCACTGAAAGGCCAAATCCTCGCATATCTTCTGTTCACACTTCTCATTCCAACTAATTAGCCCCTCAAAGAAGATTTACCTTACGAGGAAATTATGTTCATTCATGAAAATGAAAAACTGCAAATCCAGAAAATGTACTTTGATGGAGCATCAAGTATCAAACTTGCCCAACCTCCAAACGTCCCAAAAATACGAGTCAATATTGGTCTAATCTTCATAACATACGATAGATGTATGATGAGATATTAATTTGATTTGACAATATCCCAGACCAATAATGAAACTGAATTAAAACTTTGGTGGCAGGTCCTGAAGTCATCGTTTCAATAAAAATATAGATATTCATATTCTCAATGATTCTTAACTCTCCATAATGAGATATGTTCTATACTTCAAGGGATAATCTACTAAGTCACTGAACTCACCAGCCTTCAATCTCTCAACAGGTATTCCTTTGCAAGTATTGAAGAGTTTGAACAACACACCCAAGTCAAATTTATACAATTTAAGAATAAGGTATTGCAATAATGTTATATGTTTAGATAAGTTTTGGCTATGTAAGCTATGGATGTATGATGAAATTGTTAAAATGGTCCCAGACTATCTAATAAACGTTGAGGGACTAATATGTTGATCTATGTATCTAATACGGTATATTGTACAATTTCATAAAAATTTTATTATCTATCAAATATATATGATTTAGTCCTTTGACTCTTAAATTTAATCCAAAATAGTCCATAGACACCTCAAATATAATCTAATATACTACTATAGAGGGACTAATTTAGATTATATTTGAAAAGTTAAGAAAATAAATCAAACGCTTCAGATAGTTGGAACTAAAAAGACCCCATACAAATAGTTTAGAGACGATAAACCATTTTCTCATTTTCTCATTATATGGATGAAGGTATAATTGGAAAAAAGAACCCCTATTCTATCATAAAGCTGGAAAATTTTTAGTTCGACAGTTGGGAAGAGCTTAAACATACTTTTAATAAATTATTAACAATTGATGATTGACAAAAAAAGCTTTCCTTCGATAATAGCAAAACTACAATATAATAAATTGGCGAGTATTAGGAATTTCTCAAAATTTTAGAATTCCTGTAGGAGTTGCAGGAATAAAATATGCATTGAGGTTCAACTTATCTACTAAGAGGTAAATCCTAGAAGGCTCAATAACTAGCCCCATAAAATAACAAAAGTAACAGAACTATGTTACAGCTGAAGTTTAGTAAATCCTAATAACACAGCAACAACAATGGAATCCCATCACAGCCAACAAGAAGGCCTTGTAGATGAAAAATCCAATAAGCCAAATTCATTGTATCTAGGATTTTCTTCTATCATAGGTCTATGCAGAAGTCTAGCAAAAGTTAAACACGGACTCTGAGTCTTCAAACTAAAATAAAAAATTCAAAATCTGTTCGAAATCACAAGGTCAAGCAGAAATAAAAGCAAGGAAGACTAAACAAAAACAGTTATTAAGCTAGTTTTGAAATTTAGTTGCCCATACATCTCTGAATTAATATTGAATTATTGAAAATTTTGGAATATATAGTTCAATAAATGTTAACCAATAAACTCATATCTACCATAACGCTGAATTAGAAATATCCACTTGAAGTTTAATTGCTTTAATACTAGTCCACTGACTCCTCCAATAGAACTTCAAAAAAATTAAAACTTAATTTTCAAGATGTAACAATTGTCACTAAGTTGCCACAGTAAACTAAAAAATATAGCATAATATAGCATACGAAAGTACTTTACATCAAATAAAATAAGACTAATAAGTATAAGAAACCGAACCAAAAAATGCATTTTTAAAAGAAGATTTATTGGAAATCCAAATACACAGGGAATGAAATTAGATGCACGCAGGATAATATAAAAGTAAAATAAAATGGACCATTTAAAAATAATTCTGGTTCAGATCTAACGTAGCTTTTTGTGTTCGATCACCCAAACATGAAAAGAGAACTTAAAAAAAGGATACATAAAGAAATGCCTAACCGTTTGATCAAAAGCATCAATTCCTTCACTATCCAGGAGTAAAAGGTTGTACTCAGTTCCATCAACAGCTGTGCGTTTCAATGGTGCACTCCACATCCAAAGCCCCTTGGTGCATGGTCGATGAGTGGAAGCTACTCGGAAACCACTACTCCTACCAAGAAGCTATCAAATGTCCATATATAAGTTATATAAAAATATCCATAAATATGATAATTTAAAGAAATTATCAATGCAAGTTGCATTTTCAGCATGAAGTTAAGTGCAAATGATAAAAACAAAAAGAATATGACTAGCAAATGATCCATAAAAATGTGATAATTCAAGGAAACCATCGTATGTATGTATTTATAAGTTCTCACTTAAGTCCAACCAAACTAATGGCTGAGTTGATTAAACTAACTCGAGGACTGTGTTCTCAAAGCAAGATGTCATTGTAAGGTCTTTTTTGCCTCAACGCACAAAGTAAAGCGGCATTTTTAATAATCAAAATGTTCATTACTTCTATATTATGTAAACATATACTGTATGTATATAATAATTTTTATACTCATTTAATAAACTAAACATAAATCACATCAAGTAAATTTTTTCAATTAATATAATGATACATGCAACATCTCCAATAAAGATAAATCATTGTTTTAACTAACCAACCTAAAATTAAATTAAAAGATTAAATCAATAACAATAAAAATATGTCATATCTAATAATTCAAGAACCTTCATAAAATATAAATTATTGAAACTATATCATAATTTTACATCACAATAATAATATCTCTAATTTAAAAATAAATCCAAAGGAGCCAAATAAAAATGGTTAAGTTGTGAAACGTAATTAATGTCCTTAAAAAATGACTTATGCAGAGACAATATGCAAATCGACACAACAAGGTCATCATGGGGATTGAAAGGGATTGAGGGAAAGGATGATAGGAAATATAGTTGATGCGGACATAGGCATAAAGATTTGACGCATCTATCACAGGCGGCGTCATAAATCGACGGCTATAATTTAACTTGTCATTTATGAGTTATTTTCTGAATTTTTGCTCTTGTTTTATGATATTTCCTGTTTTACCCCTAGGTTAGTTTATGTGAGTGTTGTGGCCCAAGGGGCATTATTGTAATTTTAGATTTTTCTCATGTTGTGGCCATGGAGGGAAAACAAGATACGGAAAAGCATCAACAGTTGCTCCTGTGTGGAGAAGCCAAGTGTTGTTATTGCAATGTTCACATATTGAGGAGAAATTGAAGACAAACAAGAATGTCAAAACTAGCACCGTGAAGTTCTTATGTGGAGAAGAAACCAGAGACAAAGACAAGGTTTTGTATGGTTGATTGATAATGCTACTAAATAAGGTGGTCGAGTCCGAACTTTGTCTTTTGCCGCAACAAAATGTAGGATAGAGTGAAGGGAGAATGCATTTACATATGATTATGGTGTGTCATAGAGACTTGCTTTCTGGGCCCCATCATTATCAACAACCTTTATCCATGCATAACAATGGTTGAGGTATGGCTGGTTGATCATCATACTACTAAGGAGGTTGAGTTTCAACTATGTTTATTTGCTGCAATGAAATGTAGGAAGATGGTGATAGGGCGAATGCATTTGCGCCTATTTATGATGCATCGTGGATGCTAGCTTTCTTGGCGTCAACATTATTAACACTCTTCAACTAAGCATAACATCCCTTCTCTCATTCATATTTGCAATTATCAAACAATCATTGTTATTGTTGACATTGGATTGTTGTCATTAACAAGAAAGCTAACCTAGGGCTTCAACAAATAGACATTAGTTGTAGCAATTATAAATAACCTATTGCATAGTTGTTCCTCTTACTCTTTTCCCCATTCCCATATTCCTCTCTCATTACTATAGATTGTTGCCTAGCTTCTAGTGACTAAAACTTCAGTGATTTTGGTTGTCGGATAGCATATCAATTTTCGAGAGTAGTCCGCTCCACAATTATCTTTTTTTTTTTTCATTTTCAATTTTTCTTAAAATCCTTAGATTTGGATGATTTGAAAACTTGAATAATTTTCATTCATGTTAATAAGAACAATGAATGTAAAACTATATCACATGAAAAAAATATATTATAATTAAGATTGGTTGTAAATCAATGACATCAAAATTGGAGGAAACTAACTCCTTCAAGTGAACCTTTCTTTAGATTTAGGATACTATAATAGAATAATACGGTATGGTATGATAAAATTCATGACCACTCCTCAAGACATGCATTTATATATATTTATGTTGTCAACGCTTCTTGTTACTTTGGCTTTAGCATGTATTGGATATTATCATTGGCAACAAGCAGGTAAAAAAACATTCCATAGTCGTTACCTGCAATGTGCTGCACCCATTGGCAACAAGCAGGTAAAGACCATTCCATAGTCCAACATTAAAAAACACAGTCCGAGCAGGTGTATAAACGAAACACTAAATTGGGCCCTAAATAGACACCATTGGCAGAAATGGGAAAACATGCGTCTTAATATAACCCTAGAAATGTCTGTCAACTGAAAAAAAAAAACGGACTGAATTTAGAACAAAACCTGGTTTAGAATAAAGCTTTTGCCTTGACGAGCTCGCCCGCAGACGGAGACGACGCCTACGGGGCCTTTTACGAGCTGAAGGGCAGCGACGGCCTCAGGGTCCATCACGAACTTGCCCTTTTCGTCGCAGTAGACGAGCCGGAGGGGCCTCGCCGGTCCATGGGGGGCCGAGGTAGGGTTAGCGCTTCCGTTGGCTGATTCAGGTGATGTCTCCGTACCCTTGGCTCCCGAACCCCCGCGTAATCCCAGCATCTGCAACATCTTCCTTCCCTACCAACGCTATCTCCTTTTCTGCAGCCACTACAGAGTCCACTTCGCTTCCCTGTGGCTTTATTCCTCAATTCTTTATGCGTATATCTGGTTTGATCTCTCTTCGAAAATGATAAATTTGAAACAATATGTTCTTCGGGGATGCGTTACAAAATCGAAAAGAGCTGCAGATTCGGCGGAATTTTCAAAATGTCGGGTTTGATTTTCAGAAATATATCAGGTTTGTGTATACCCTTGAAATTTATGTACTACTACAACAATCATTTTTTATCCCAGTTTGACTGTCTTTTTTTTTTTCTCCATTGAACTCTCCTTGCCTCTTAAAAGTTAGCTTCTCATTTAAATCTAATAAAGAAATATCATTTCTAATATTTTATAACTAAGTTTTTTAGAACTATGTCTATCTTTATTAACATAAGTCAAATCTAATATATCTAATTGGGTCATCAGAAGATCGTCATTTTATATGATCAAATCATCTAAAGAGACCCTCTCTAATCTTAACTTGCATTGGAGCTACTCCAACTTTTTCATGTTTATGCTCATTTATATACTTTCTCTAATAGTAAGGACACTCGTCCACCTGAGCATCCTCATCTCTGCAACACTTAATATAATGATTCTCTTTTAATGGCCAACAGTATGCATCATAAAGCATTGCATGTCTCACTATCATCTTATAGAATCTTCCCTTAAGTTTAAGATGGGCTTTTCTATCACACAACAAGCCCAATGCTTAAATTATGCTAATAATATCCTCATCTATTTCACTATCATTCTGAACAAAAGACCTAAGATAACTAAAACATGTGCTCTTATTAATGACTTGATCGCCCAAAGTCACAATCCCTCCACAATATCCATTATTACTAAAATTATACCCCATATATTCAATTTTAGATCTACTCAAACAAAATTCTTTAGACTCTAAGGTTGACCTTCATAATTCAAGTGTACCTTCAACTCCCTCTCCAGTCTTGTCAACAAGAAGAATATCATCCGTAAAAAGCATACACCAGGGTACAACCACTTGCAAATGTCAAGTGAGAACATCCATGACTAAAGCAAAATATGTATGGCTTAAGGATGATCATTGATGTAAACCAACTGAAATAGGAAAATACTTGATCAAACCACATTGTGTTTAAACACAAGTAATAACTTATGCATGCATATCCTTAATAACTTATATATAAGCATTATCAACCCATTTCTTATGTAGAACTCTCCATAGCACTTCTCTTGGATCTTTATCATATGCTTTCTCTACATCAATAAAAATCATATGTGGATCACTAGATCCTTTTAGTCTTCAAAATAATATAAAAAAGTTTAGTAAGCCAAGAAATTCATTCCTCCTAAGCATTTTCACGTCTCTATTGGAATATCATCAAGTCCAACACCTTTTCCACACTTCATTTTCTTTAAAGCCTCTTTAACTTATGTTTTACTAATATGTCGATAAAATTTAAAATCTTTATTTTCATATAGGATGCTAATGCCAGCAAAGTTAATCACATTCTCATAATCTTTATTGAAAATTTTAACAAAATATCCAATCTAGTTATATTGAATATCCTCTTCTAATAAAAGTACTTTTTTGATCTTCATCCTTAATACAATTCATTTGAACTAAATCATTACTAATTATATATATATATTTGTTTAATTAACTTATACATATATCTTTTGCACTCTTTAGTATCTAAACTATTATATAAATCATTAAAAGTTAAAATTTTGTATTACAAATTATTTTCTTAAACTCCTTACGTGCCTCTTTATATATTTCTCAATTATCAGAATTTTTACAATAAATTAATTATTATAACAAATCTTATTGTTTTTTATATTTTCTTGTACATTTTGATTCCACCACCAACTATTTTTACTATTAGTAATTTTCTCTTTGATGCTCGAAGCACATCTTTTGTAATATTCCTAATATCACTAGCTATTTTTTTCCTACACAATATTTGCTTCCTTATGCACATACAAAATATCAAGATATAGATTTTTTTCTCAAAAATATTTTAATTAATTTTCGTTAAATACCTACATCTAATCCTAGAACAATGGTTTACTTTATTTTTTATCTTATGTCGTTCATTTTAAAGTCCAAAATTAATAAGTGATATTGGATATATAAACTTTCAGTTGAAATAACTTTACACTCTTTGCAATCTAAATGATCTATTTTCTTATAAAAAATAATCAATCTGGTTTTTATTATATTCATTCTTATTAGTGATGAGATGCTTATCTATTTTCTTAAATAAGGTATTAGCAATTACAAAATCATAAGTTAGAGAAAAAATCTAATAAAGTCTTACCACCTTCATTTGTCATTTCAAAGTCATGGTCACCATGAATACTTTTAAAATCCTCTACCTCTCTACCAACATGTCTATTTAAATCTCCTATAATAAAAACTTTTTCTTCTAGAGATATCTTTTTATCTTTCTTCTAGAGGTAATCTAACGCCCAAGTGACGTTGAAATTCTACTCGACGTCAGAATTCTGTCCAAGCGACGCCGGAATTCTGCCCAATTGATGTCGGAATTCTGCCTGATGTTCAAGTGACGCCAAAAGTCCGCCTGATTTCTAAGTTATGCCGAAATTCTAAGTGACTATGAATTCAACTCGAATACACAACTTGTGTGTAACTAGACTTCAATTCGGAAGTAAATCATTGTAATTTGATCGTCCTAAATTCTAAGGATGAGTCAATTTCTTGTATCTCAAGCAAACACTAGTGAAACTTTTTCAATTGAGCGTGGCCCCGTTATGTTTTTTCCTTTCCAGGATTTTTCACGTAAAAATCCAGGTGTCTTTATTTCTCTCATGTTTGTGTGCTAGATATTCATACAACGCTGAGACGGAAACTTTCTAACTCTATCATTGTGTATATTCTAGTCCATAACAATAAGAAATATTTTGGTGGCTATAAAGCCATATTTTGATGTTTATAAGCATATTCTTGCTTATAAGCACAAAATAGAGTTATAAGGGGACAAAATCTTTTGAGATTCTGTTTAGGATTAGGAAATGTGATATAAACAATTATACAATATGAATTTTTGTTTATTTGCTTGATTAGTGTTGTTATTTAAATAATTGGATAAATGTTATACTCTTATTATATTTTTTTGGTACTGTGATAAGTGATTTATTAGACTGTATTTAACTACTTTTAAATATTTTAAAAATATTTTAAAATTTTAAATCAATTTGTGTGGCCTATTGTCTTGGTTGAGCTTACTATAATTTTACTTCTAGTTTTCAGGATCAGGAAAATGGAAGGAATTTGCTTGATTAGCAGTTTGGGGTTTGATCATAGTTGATAGGTATCTCTTTTATTGATTTTTGTGCAATCATGACTAGTTTATTATTCAATTCTGTAGTTTTTGAATGTAGTCATGATTTATCCAACAATGGTCATCTGACCACCACCGCCTAACTGTCAAGTCTATTCATTGTAATCCGATTGTTATCGTCCGACTGTCATTACCTAATCATTATTAAATCTTTACTAAAAAAACTTAATCCGCCTCCTTATTACATTTTAGTTTGATAGTTTCATACTTTTGAGATTCAATTTCTATCATAATTTATAATATTTTTGGTATTTAATATTTAATTTATGAAATAAATTCAATTGAAGTTTAAATTAGAATAAATATAAATTTAATTGGAATTTGATAAAATTTTAGAAACATAAGTGGCTAACAATTGAAATAGAAATTTGATGTAAATAACATAAAACTTTAAAATATATTAATACTTTTCAACTTTTTATCGATCAAGCAATGAAGAACTAACAACCTCATATCATTTTTTTTTTTTTTGGGGAATGGGGTATCTACTCGCTGCCGCGAGGCCACCCACTGGCATCGAGCCTACTCTTGCTTTGCCCCACTGAAGAGGTAAGGCCGTAGTAGAGGGGATTCAAACCCGTAATTGGAGATTTCCAACCATGCTCGTCCACCAACCATGCTAAACCTCATACCATATTGATCAGAACGCAGAGCTCTTATTATTTGATAAGCCCGGGGGCCTATTAAAGAGTAAGCTAGCTCAATTACATCACTACTGTTATACAAGTGAATCTCTTTGGGCCTAGCTGGCGTTTTGGGCTCACCTGGGCCTTATTTTGGACTTTAAATTGGATCAAACTCTACTGATGTTAGATTTTGGGCTTATTATTATTGGTATATATTTATATATTTTGTTTCAAATTAAATAAAAAAAAATTATTCTGCACACGCATACATCATATGATTGCTTACATGGACTAAAATATCTTTTGTCTCATGAGGTTATTAATGATAAAGCCCCTATAATACAAATTAGAATTTTAAATTTTAGATGAATAAGAAATATTAGAGGTCTTAATAAATGATATGATCTTACAGAATAATTTTAGATTGAGTCAGAAGCTTGAAATTGACCTAATTATTATTTTGATTTAGCTTAAAAATGGTCATTTCCAAGTTGAGCATGTTATATTTGGGTTAAACAAGTCGTCCTGATTTATAAAATATATATTTGATTTATATAATAAACGAGCAAAACAAGTCAAGTTCGGGTTAGTTGGATTTAGGACAAAAATTTTGACTCTTATGACAAATGAGTCAAGTTCGAATCAAGCTTATTCAAATAGGCCCATTCCAGATTAGACTCGAACCCGATCTGTCAACCAAATTAACACCCCAATTATAGAGCCACTTTGAATTGGCTTTATTTTAGCTAAATAATCCCACACCTTTAATAAATGACATAATATCATATATCAGATTTATATAATTATTATGACATAATTAAAATCTTTTGATAAACATATTCATCTATATTTTACAAATAATTCTAATTAAATTATCATAACTTTTTTTTAAGCAAAAATTGAATGCTTTGTAATTTTAATTTATTTCATGAATTTTGTTCTTTATCTTACCTTCCCTCTTTTATGAGAACATTAGGCTTTGGAATAATGAGACAAATTGTCATTTCATTTTGGAGTTCTTAATAAAAACACCCCCAAAATATAAAGATTTTCAAAATTGTCATTGCAATTATGAATTTATTAAGCACGTGTATCATGTTTTTAATTTTCTATTAACGGGGAATTCATTTCTTTTCGTATTAAAAATATACTTCCCTTGCTGGTTAACTGTGAGGGCCTATGCGGTGGAGAAGTCAATCAGCCAACTCA